ACAGCATCCGCTTCGGGGAGAGACGCACTCCTCTCCAGAAGATAGCTCCAGAAGGCGGCAGGTGCACCATATGGGATGGCTTTGCTTCTAGCACTTCACCTTGGCTTGGCGCTGCCTGACTGGATTGTGCCAAGAGCCCTGCTGCCAGCAGTCACGTAGTCTCTGCTCCTGAGAAAAGAGCAGCATGTGCTGCTCAGGAAGCAGCCTGGTGCACAGATCCCCTGCACCAGCTCCCTCTACTTAGCAAGCTGCAAACACTCCTGAGGATTAATCCTGCCTCTAAGTGAAGTTTGCTTCACAAACAGTCCCTGCCAGCATGGCATGACAGCCCCTTTGTGGGGGCTACAAGGCACAAGGTGACAATGGGGGGGGCATGGAAATGAGGGAAGGGAGGAAACTCTGCTCTCTATTGCAGCTACAAAGCCAGAGTGCATGAATGGCAGGTGGGGAAAACTGACTCTTAAGTTTGCTCTCCAGTGCTTCTCCAGTCCCAGTCACTCACATAACTACCACGCAATTAAATGTGTAGGGGCCCCAATCTACCCTGGGCCCAGGGCTTCTAAAGTTTTTAAGTTGGCCCTGTTTAAACCAATGTAAATGAGAGCAGAAAGCAGCCTGTGGCTTGATCCGTGAAATGGGGCATGTTGGGTTGAGGGAGAAATAAAATAACACATTTTGTGGTAAGAGCAAGGCAGGGGTAGTTGGGTATCAGGACAATATTTCCCTGGCTGAAAGGGACCTTGGGGTTATGGTTGATCACAGAATGAACATGACCCACAAGTGTGATGCTGTAGTCAACAGAGCTAGTAGCGTCCTGGGATGCATTAGCAGATGTGTCATAAGCAGACTAAGGAAGTGATACTTCCTCTCACCACGGCATTGGTGGGACCCCAGCTGGAGGACTGTGTCCAGTTCTGGGCGCCACATTTCAAAAAGGCCATGGAGAATCTTGAAAGGGTGCAGAGAAGGGCCACAAGAATGACTAAGGGCCTGGAGGACAAACCTTATGAGGAAAGACTAGGGGATCTGGGACTGTTCAGCCTGGGCAAGAGAAGACTGAGGGGGGACTTGGTGGCCATCTGTAAGTACATAAGGGGTGCATATCAGGAGCTGGGAGAAGCCCTAGTGAATAGTTTGCCCCAGGGCAGGACAAGGAGCAATGGCCATAAAATGTTAGAGGATGGTTTCAGGTTGGATGTAAAGAAGAACTTCTTTATGGTAAAGGTGACCAGAATCTGGAATAGACTTCCCAAAGAGGCAGTGCAGCCCCCAACCCTGGAAGTCTTCAAGAGAAGATTGGACAGATACTTTACTGGGATCATTTGACCTCAACAGTATTCCTGCCCAGAGCAGGGGGGTTGGACTCAATGATCTTTTGAGGTCCCTTCCAGTCCTTAATTGAGGTCTATGATGTTATGAACTGACCTTCATCCTCCACTCTGACAGTTGCCTCAACCAGGCACCAGCCTGGCCTACCTTTTTTCCTGTGCTGTGACTGTGGACTTGCTTTGCAGATGGTAAGTCCTGGCGGAAGAGTACCCAACTCTTTGGGAAAACTGTCCAAAACAGTTTTGGGTATGGGTTATGGAAAATGGGGGTATGGGTTATGGAAAATGGATGTTGATCTCTGACTTCTGTATATGAGAGAGAGAGAGAGCGTGTGTTCCTCCTGATACTGACTGCTGAAGTAAGAAGGAGGGATATCTCGGAAGTCTTGGAGATGTACACTGTTGAAGAAGTAGTGCACCGTTGTTTCTATCCCTGCCTCTGCCTTGCTGGACTTGCATCTCTTTGCTCAGGGAGGCAGAGGATGATTGTTGCCCAGCAAACACAGGTTTAACAGAAATCTTGGTCTAGGGAGTTCATAGTTTCATAGCTGGTAGGGTCAGAAGGGACCTGAGCAGATCAAGTCCGACCCCCTGCCACAGGCAGGAAAGGATGCTGAGGTCAAACAACCCCAGCGAGGTGATTATCTAGCCTCCTTTTGAAGATCCCCAGGGTAGGAGCGAGCACCACTTCACTTGGAAGTTGGTTCCAGATCCTAGCCGCCCTGACTGTGAAGTAGAGCCTCCTGATATCTAGCCTGAATCTACTCTCAGTCAACTTATGGCCGTTGTTCCTTGTTACTCCCAGGGAACAGGGACTCTCCCATTGGGGGAACAGGGACTCTCCCATTGCCTGCTGGTCTTCCTTGGCCAGTTTATAGACTACCAGATCCCCTCTCAGCCTTCTCTTGAGGAGGCTGAACAGGTTCAGGTCCCGTAGCCTCTCTCTGTAGGGCTTGCCTTGCTGACCCCTGATCATGCAGGTGGCCCTCCTCTGGACCCTCTCCATATTGGCCACATCCCTCCTGAAGTGCAGTGCCCAGAACTGGACGCAGTACTCCAACTGCGGCCTGACCAGTGTTGCATAGAGGGGGAGGATCACCTCCTTGGACCTCCTCGTGATGCATCTGTGGATGCATGACAAGGTGCAATTAGCCTTCCTGACTGCATTCCCACATTGGCAGCCCATGTTCATCTCGGAGTCTATAATGACTCCAAGATCCTTTTCTGCCTCTGCGCTGATAAGAGGGGAGGTCCCCAGCCTGTCGCCCCCCACATCTTAGTGTCATCCACGAATTTGAACAAGATGCTTTTCACCCCCTCATCCAAGTCACTGATGAAGATGTTGAACAGTGCGAGCCCGAGGACCAAGCCCTGGGGGACCCCACTGCCCACATCCCTCCAGGTCAAAAATGACCCGTCCACCACCACTCTCTGGGTGCGGCCCTCCAGCCAATTGGCGACCCATCTGACTGTGTAGGCATCAATACCACAATCTCCTAATTTTTTAACGAGAATGGGGTGAGAGACAGTGTCGAAGGCCTTCCTAAAGTCCAGAAAGACTACGTCCACCGCAACACCTGCGTCCAAGTTCAACTGGGGGCTTGGAGCCAGCTTTTTGCATTATCCTGCAGGACACCAAGAGAGTTCCAAGCGTCTACAGAAAGGATCTAATTGGCTGATAGAAATCTACCAAATCCTCTAGGATTCCTGTTACATTTTATGGGGCTTTTCCATAGGGACTGTTGAACAACACTTCTCAGAGTCTTTCCTGAGAAATTGGTGTGGGTTTTGGAGGAAAAACAGAAACTACTGCTGTTATGGCTGTGTGTCGATGAAACAAGGGGCATGTGTGCATGACACTTTAAAGTGGGCTAAATGCTTTTGCCCCGTTTTAATGGTGTTGGTGTTTGCATGCATCGGCAGTGCATTGCGTAGTAATTCCAGCTGCTGTAGCAAATTTGGTGGCATAATGTGCCTTAAATGACTTGGGGCACAGCAAACTTAAACTCCTCCAAGGAGTTTTAGTTTGCTGCCCTACAGCTGTGGAGCGAAGCAGTGGGCTCTGTGAAGCTCCACGGCTCTGCAGGAAGCCCGTGTAGGCAGCCTGGCAGCAGCCCAGGAAGGCAGGCTCCGCCCAAGAAAACCCATGAGCCTGATCTTCTTTTTCCTCTGGAGCCTGTGGTACTGCCTGGGACTGCCCAAGCCGGGTGCCTGCAGGTGGGTGCTACCTGGGGTGGGGGCACTGCTGCCGCGGAAGGAAGCACCAGCCCCTCCCCCCCGCCTCCCTCCCTCCCTCCCTCCCCCAACAGCCCAGGGACTGCTCCACCTGCCAGCAGCTCGTCCTCCCCTCCCCACCGCTGGAGAGGCAGGTATGTTCGGATGTGTGCATGACACGGGGGTTTAAAGGGCCCTAAATTGAAGCAGTGTTTTTAAAAACCTACCGCTTTAGGGCCCTCATTTCATCTCCACACGCCCTATGTCAGTGCTTCTTTTTTTCCTGAGAGACAGTCCATGTATGCCACATAGGGCCCCAGTGCAGACAGCAAGTTAGTCTGGTGAGAACAGGATGTATATTTGACATGGCTGGGCCAGGATCAAGAAATGCAGGGATTGGAAATGGACTTTTTCTGCACTATTTTTCTCGTTCCAGTAGCCTCTAAAGAGAGATACAGGGTTAATGCCTGTATTATAGTTTTTTACTTCCCCCCTACTACCTCTTGGTTCCAAGTTAGTGGGAGCTTTTCCCTGGCTAGATTCCCAGCCATAACAAATTAATTGTGTCGATCTCTGTGACCCAGCCTTCAGCTTCACAGATGGTTACACTGGAAGGGACGCCCTGAATCCTTGGGCCAGTCCACAGCTACCATAAACAACTGTATCATGGCAAGATCTATTTTAAAACTATTTAGATTACTTGCCGCCACCTTTTACTGTACTGCTGTTCCAGAAACTCACTGCTCTGGTGGTTAGAAATCTTCTAAGTAATATGGCTATCCTTATCAATGGAGAAAGGAAGAGTTTTCTTAAGAACCGCAGCATGCCGATTGCTTCTGTCATCTAAGTCAGCATTTCTCAACCCATGGGTCACGAGAATATATCAAAAGGGTCACGAACAAACTTTAAAAATGGATTCTCCTTTAAAGGAGAAAAACCTGGGAAACTGTGGCTTTTCCTTTGCAGGCTGGCAGAGCTCCAGCCTGCAAGGGGCTGCTTGGGGCCCCCCATGTCCTCCCCAGTGCGCCACACACGAGGGGGCTGGGGCATGTGGG